AATCCTCATTCGACTCTCCAAAAAAAATTATATCATTTGAAAAAGATATGCATCTCGGTGTTAGCTCTTGGATGTTTTCTGTGAGTACATCTAAAGTAAGGTAAAAAGGTAGAGGCTTAGGGTTAAATATTGATGTAAAAGCAATTGTAATAGGAAAATTGTCTATCTTTCCACCTTGTGTCCGAACACTAGTCGATATCCCTTCATACATTTTTTGGATAGCTCTAATATATGCAATCCTAACCTCTTTCTTCTTTAGGATTTTCCATAAAATATTTATCATACGACTTCTCCAAGTTAATAGAAATTAAGTGCATGTCTTATTGGTCCATCAGATATTTTTCCATCGCATGCTGTAACAGATAAATCACTTCCATAGTTGACATTTTCGATATAAAACCAAATTGATTCCTGATGACTTGAGTCTCTTTTCTTAATCTCTGTTCAATCACTCTTTCCTATAACTTCATGGTATGACTCATAAGCTTAACCTCCATATAAATTGCACAATTTTGTACATCCTCCTTATTCTTATAGATTGGAACTAAAATGCTTCTTCTCCATTCACCTGACATGTATTTTGACCGTATAATTTCATTAAAGAATTTGGTAAGCCACTCAATACCCCTATCTTCAAGAAATTTCTACATTTCAATAGATATATTGTCTTGCTCAACCGTCTTACTATTACTCATTCTTTTCAACACTTCTTTTACCTCCTATTTTTGAATCTGACGATAGTAATTATAATTCTGATCCTCTTCTCTAATGTCGAGTCTCCTAGAGTCTGGTGAAATATCATATCCTTCATTAAATAAAATTTAGAAATATGACTTTCACATATCATGTATATCATTTTCATGAACTAAGACTTTCCCTTCTTCATCTTTAAAATAATTCACTTGATCTAAATCTCTAGTCTTTCTTTCTCTTCCCTTAGCAAGCTTTATATATATATATATATATATATATATATATATATATATATATATATATATATATATATATATATATATATATATATATATATATATATATATATATATATATATATATATATATATATATATATATATATATATATATATATATATATATATATATATATATATATATATATATATATATATTCTCCCTTCCCGGTTCCTAGAGATTGGTATAATCTCTCAAAAGATTGAGTTCTGACTTCACTCACCGCCATCTTGGTTTCATTCTTAGTTGTCTTATACTTTTCCCAAGTTTCAAAATTTTTACACTTAGACCACTATTTAAAACAGTTCTTTTTTACTTTAACTTTAGTCTGGACACTTTCATTTCACCACAATGATTCTTTACCCCTACGTCCAAAACCTCTTGATTCACCCAACGTCTATTTAATCATTTTTCTAATCTCTTGGATCATCTTACTATTACTCATTCTTTTCAACACTTCTTTTACCTCCTATTTTTGAATCTGACGATAGTAATTATAACTCTGATCCTCTTCTCTAATGTCGAGTCTCCTAGAGTCTGGTAAAATATCATATCCTTCATTAAATAAAATTTAGAAATATGACTTTCACATATCATGTATATCATTTTCATGAACTAAGACTTTCCCTTCTTCATCTTTAAAACAATTCACTTGATCTAAATCTCTAGTCTTTCTTTCTCTTCCCTTAGCAAGCTTTATATATATATATATATATATATATATATATATATATATATATATATATATATATATATATATATATATATATATATATATATATATATATATATATATATATATATATATATATATATATATATATATATATATATATATATATATATATATATATATATATATATATTCTCCCTTCCCGGTTCCTAGAGATTGGTATAATCTCTCAAAAGATTGAGTTCTGACTTCACTCACCGTCATCTTGATTTCATTCTTAGTTGTCTTATACTTTTTTCAAGTTTCAAAATTTTTACACTTAGACCACTATTTAAAACAGTTCTTTTTTACTTTAACTTTACTCTGGACACTTTCATTTCACCACAATGATTCTTTACCCCTACATCCAAAACCTCTTGATTCACCCAACGTCTATTTAATCATTTTTCTAATCTCTTGGATCATCTTATTCCACGTATCGTTTTCACTTCTTCGTGTTGTCCAAACCTTCCCTTCATGATCTTGTGTTGGAAATTTTTTTGTTTTTTATCCTTTAAATTTTGCCACTTGATTTGTGCCGCTATCATATAACTTCTTCTCTTTGTTTTCCCTTTAATTATTACATCCATAACCAAAACTCTATTTTGAATAGTCAAGCTCTCTCCCGGAATAATTTTACAGTCCAAACAAATCTCCCTATCTGACTTCCTGATAAGAAAGAAATTTATTCGAGAACATGTCACCCCACTTTTATATATGATAAGATGTTCATCTCTTTTCCTAAACCATGTATTTTCTATAGTAAGATCCAAAACCGTTGAAAACTCCAAAATGGATTTACCCTCCCCATTCACCTCCCCTGGGCCAAGCCCCACATGAAAATCTCAAAACCTCTTGTCACACAACCTACACGTCCATTGGAATCTCCTCCTAAGAAAAGCTTCTCTCCTTGGAGTATATCCTAGAATAAACCTTCTAAATTCTCACAATTTTATCCTAAGGTGTTATTCTAACCCAATTTGAGGTGTATACGCACTGATAACATTAAAGATGTCTTGTTCCACTGCAAATTTCAAAACTATGATTCAATCTCCTACTCTTTTCACATCCAGGATATCATTCAAGGCTATGATAAGATCTTTCACTTCTTATCCACAATAATCTCCACCCCATTTCTTGATCTAACTTTCCTGGTGTACCAAAGCTTAAATCTCGAACTGTCTAATTCTTTTGTTTTTTCGCCTATCCACTTAGTTTCTTGTAGACACATAAAATTATTCTTTCTCCTTACCGTAACGTTCACTATTTTGATATATTTTCTAGTAAATGTGTCTATGTTCCATTATCCAAAACGAATCATCCTCTCATGAACTAACTTCTTTACCTACACCCTTGAAAACTCTTTACCTACACCCTTGAAAACCCTTACTTATATTTCACTACATCCAAGTAGCGATGCTACAATCTTTACTCTTTTGACACTATACTCGAGCTATACAACATGTTGCTTACAGACATCTACCTAACATTCACATCATTTTATAATTGTTCTATGTAATAGAAATTCGACAAAACTTTATGTTGATTGTCGTCTACCAAATACAACTCTCCTTTTTTCAGGACTTGGGACCGGTTATGTAGCAAAGCTAACCTAGTCAGATCCACTAAGCCATTTACAATATTGGACTATATTTTATAACTTCAATTTTATTTTACTTATAGGACAACTTTAATTTGATTTGTATTAGTGGCAAAATTAAAGTTAACAGTTAAATCAATCATTTCTTAAATAAATGTTTTTTCTGTTTATATATGCTCGTCTTTCACAAGTTACCAGTTAATAAATCATAAGAGTAATACATTTTTTGAAAAATTTGCAGCTTACATAAACTATCCTAAGTCTTACTATAACACAAATTAGAATGATAATTGCTGGAAGAAAGAATGAGATCCATCTCATAACCAAATTCAATTTCCATGTATTAACAAAATTATGAGATTATATGATAACATAATCCCTCTAAGATACCTCCAGAAAGAGTTAAAGAAAAGAACTAAATGAAATTGTTGATTTGTGCAGCTAAGCAATCTTCCATAAAATTTGCATAGCACCAAATGACAAATAGCAAAGTGAGGTTGCTTAATGACGGACCTAGCTGCGGCTATCAACACAACAGAACAGGCACAGAAAAAACTCACCTTGTTACCGCATGTTATCAACACAAATACCCTCGAGTACAAAGTACATGGGATCCTAGCTAGAAACAGAGGGTCTAAATTCTCATAATTGTACAACCAACAATGGTACCACGGCACCGTGTCATTGGAGCTGTTTGGCGCCAAGTTGGTCTCTCACTCCCGAGTGTTAGAACATCGACATTTGATAATGGCTTGATGTCCCAATTCCATCTTTCAGGTCCAATGACGCCCCCTATCATGTATAAATCACCGCCTAGTCCAATCATTGCAAACCCAATTCTCTGTTTAAAATCTGTTGCTGAACTTATGATCTTTTTCCCTTCTTTGTCTTGCTTCATGATAGATCCATTGCTCATAACACAAAGTGCATCCTGGACTACTGCCATTGGACCTTGAAGCCAATCACAGTCTTCCACAATCCATCTAGCCCCTGCATTGTCTAAAACTTGCACCGTTGACATATCCTTGTGCAGTACATGCATCTTTCCTCCAATCACTATTCCTGAACAGGCTGAATTATGTGTGCGATGAAGATCAGGGATTGCAGTCCAAAAATCCTTCTCGGGGTCATATATTTCTGCTTGAGATATTGTTTTTCTGCAGCTAGTGAATCCCCCGGCGACAACAATTTTTCCGTTCAAAACACAGCATGCAAACATAGAACGGGGAACAAGCATTGAAGCCCGAGGAGCCCACTGCTGGATTATGGGGTCATATGACCAGACTTCATCGGTTGCAAAGCATCCATCGTGATCACCGGTCGCTGGATCAACAGCATCACTTCCACCGCCAATGACAAATAACTTTCCAGCTACAGATACGGCACCAAAGTGAGCAAGGTGCCTGATCTTTGAGGGAAGAACAGGAAGGGTAATCCAGATATCTCTTAGAGGGTCATACAGTTGCCATACGTTCTCTGGATCAAAAGCACAGACACACAAGAGATCCTCAGATGAAGCAATCTCCTGTCGGATTTTTGATATTTCTGGGCTACGAATGGCTGCTTTCCAAGACCGAGAGACAACCTCTAACTTTGGGTGGAGGTAGAAGGGAACACGGGCAAGGCACCTTATTGCAACAGCATCAGGAAGTCCTTCAATCAGTCCAGACATTACATCTATGTCTATTATGTCTCCCCACCACTGATGTCACACTACTATGGAAGGTCCACCTACAATCACAATATTTATCCAGTAAATATTAAGATAATGTGATAGTTGTGTGAAATTAAAACTTAACACATCGGAAGCAGAAATAATTTGAAAATAATGGTCACTAGATCAACATGTACAAAGTTTGAATGAAAATTTGTTGTTTGCAAAGCATAGTAGATTTTCTTCATTTTAATATAAGATACAAACTCTACGATATATTTTGCATTGAATGAATCAAACAGCAGCAGGGATAACAACAAAAGGTGAGAAATTGCATACAATCTATGAATAGTGAATATTAACTAATACGACAATAGGCACATGCAAAGACTCGAAGGATTTCAAACCAGTGGTCCATCCCTCTATCTAATGGAGGAAGCAATATTTCAGAAGTTATTATGTAGACATTACATAATAGCTTATGTCCTACCAGTCAATCAAAGAGAACTGATAGTTTATGATAAAGCCAAAAATGCTTTGTAGAGTGTCTCCTACTTTCAACCCAGCAACAGGCTCACGTTTTCCAATAGCCATTAAAGTTCTATCATTATTCACAGCAAACCTATCTTCTGCAACCCCGTGGATGATTGAGGCAGCATACTTAAAGAGATGTTGTTTCTTAATCTCACGCCTTAAAAAAATTAAACTAATAATTGCTTGAATGTTTGAATGAAGCTATAATACTCAGGTTAACTAGTCTTGCCTTCAAAGTTTAACATGCTCATACTTGTGGAAATTGAAGGGAAAAAATCTCAATTCAAAATGCGAGTCTCGGAGCTAATTTTTTGAACTCATGACTCTTTAACTCCAGCCCCATAAATCCCTTTTCCCCAAACCCCTAGTTCATTTTATCACTCCAAGTGCTGAGTTTTTTTATCAGAAATTCACAAAATAACTTCACAATAAATCCCAGAAACCAAAAGCTAAGTTATATGTCACTAGTCAAAATGGAAACATATCAGAGTAACTGGGAGAGTGAGTAAGCAACTGCATGATTGGCTGTATGAAACCCCTATTTCTAAATAACAAAAACATGGAAATGAAAAAATAAACACAAGGTGCATTCAGTAGTGCTCCATTAGTTTCTTTTGATTCAACAATCTAAGCTTATCTGACATGTTAATTGATTTGATGAGAAATGGTGAAAGAATAGTAAGAGGAATAACAAATCTTTAAAGGGGTAATCCAGTACACGAGGCTCCCATTTTATGGGCTTTGGGGGATCGGATGTATGCAGCCATACCCTGTTTTTATAACAGAGAGGCTGTTTCCAGCAGGGTTCGAACCCCATGACCCCAGGGTCGCAATGGAACAACCTTACCGTTGAACCAAGGCTACCCCTAGGAATAACAAATCATTGAATCACGCAATTCAAATAGGCGATATGAATAGCAGATAATGACACATGTATACCACAATTTAAAATCATTTATGATCCATCACATGATGCAAATCATTGGCTTGCTGAATTGCATCAAACTGTGTGATTCAAATCACTAATCATGCCATTCTAACAACTATAGAGGCATGATATATTCTATAAGTGTTATTTGACGAGGAGCATCTAACCCCTAAATCCTGCCCAGAAATAGTACAACAACGACCAAGCCTTATACCGTTAAGTGGAGTCGGCTACATGGATCAAATTCCGCCATTATGTTCTATCCAAAACTTTATATGTTTTTCTTTTTTTTTTTCCGAGAGAGTGCCAATTGGCGTATCAGACACCCTGGGTGGGTTATAACCACACGGCTGTTGCATCACATGCCTGGACCTGGTTACTAACAGTTATATAGACCCTTTCTAGGCTGCATAAACTCTAGCTTTACACATGACACACATTACACTAAAACTTCATAATAAGGGGGGTCAAAGAAGAGTTGGTTCAACATTAAACCTCCAAAACTAATGGTCCAACCCAAATAACACAGCCCTCACAAGCATAAACTAAGATATTATAGTTGAAAATTGAAATCCCCATCTAAGAGTTGCCTACTTCATTGAAATTACAAAATGGTCATATTTAACTTCTTATGTTTCAAACACAAAATAGAGCAACAAATTGCTTTTTCATTTCAAAAATCAAAAACGACTTCAGTTGAACATTAGGATGCAAACACTCTAGAGCAAAAACAAATGTAAAAGAAACATTGATTTGCAAAATGACAAACGAATTCCACAGCAAACATATGCAAGAAGGCCATAAAAAGCACTCATACCCACGTCCACAACCGAATATAACAGAAAGTAAACCAAGTGCAACGAAAACGCCACACATTCATAACAAACCTAGCATAGACTCAAAGAAAACCAACAGAAGAACAAACAACACCAATTGTCAGTATCACTACATATTCCAAAAATCAAAGCACACAAATTTACTAAGAAGCAACCAAAAAACCAAACTGAGGTCTACGAATAACAAAGCAAAGAACATGAACAAACAGGCATAACAAAAAAAAAAAAAAAAAAAAACCACAACGGGTGAACTTGTTTCCGGATTCATGAACCACTCCATACATACAAAAGCATAAGCAATAACAACAACCCTTGGAATCAAAATCGGGGTTCATTCAAGCCCTAACATTTAAAGTAAACAAAGAATTGGGTATTCGATTATATCCTAAAAAAGCGTAAATTGAACATGAACAATTAACAATAATTGAAAATAATAAAGAAATGAATGGATTAAGAAAAGGGAAGAAAGATTGTTTACCTGAAAACGAAGAAGAACGAGAATCGGAAAAGACGGAATCGGCGAAGAAACAAAGACAGTTTTGTTTGTTGCAATGAACAGAGAGTCAAATGTGAATACGAATGGGCGTTGCGTTGCGTTGTTACTTCCCTTTCCTTTTTCTCTATGAGATGAGATTTTGTTTGTAATTGAGAAACGCTTCTATCTATTATTATTGATTAGATTAAAAGAGGATAATATATATAAATAAATAAATAAATAAATAAATAAATAGAGAAATAATAAAATCTTGTTGAGTAAGGAAATTAGGGTTATTTTTGTTGCGTGTTCCATGGAGTCACAGATGAAGAATAATATTTTGGCATATTCTTTAATTCTTTTTTTGTTTTCATTTCTCCTTCATTACATTACACAACACTACACGTTCTTGAATCTCGATTTTTCTCAACGTTTTTCTTGTTTTTTCTTAGTCCAAGGGTTTGGTTATTTTCAATTAATTAAATTATGATGATAACAATAACAGTTGCGCGTGCAAAACGAATTCGGAGTGTATAACAATCTATAGCTGGAAATTTTGAGATGGATATTGACACTTTAGTTGGTTAGGATCCATTCATTTGTTTAGTCAAACTTGTCGGTAGTTTTTCATAATCATTTTATTATCACTTTTATCTCTCTCATATAGACCACACTTAATTTATTCTGTTGTAAAAAAAATTTGTAAGTTTTTTTAATAGATTTTTTTAAATTTATCTGTAGATTTTAATTTCAGAGACTAAACTGTATTATTATTATTGAATTGTTAATGTTGTTTTAATTAATGTTTTGTTTATAGAGAAAATAAAAAGTATTGATAATGTAAAATGTCAATTGAATCTATGGATCAGGTACGAGTGAGATCAAATATGTGCATCATGCACCTCTAGTTCTTGACCACTATATTTCACCAGGCTAGATCCAAAGTCTCAAAGGTGTGTCCCCATGATGAATCCCAAGAAGCGTCCCTCACTGGATATCCAGACGCCTGGGCCCTATTGCTAATGTGTCTGAGAAGTTTTGACTATTTCACACCCTTTAACTACTTTTTGCAATGTCTGTCCCATTTTCTTTTTCTTTTTTTTGTTTTATTTATTTATTTAATTTTCTTTAAATCTTTTTTTTTCTTTTTATGAACATAAAAAAAATTAGAAAATCACAAAAAATAGTAGATTTAAGTTTTTATTAATTAAATTAATCAATCATTTAATCACTTTTTTTAATTAATTAACTAATTAGAATTAGGTTCTCATAACTTAATTATTTTTCTAAACAAAAATTAAAAACAAAAAAAAAACATTTTTCCAATGCTTAGAACTCGTTTATGGTTTTTCATCTTTTCCCTTTTCTCCTCCGCGCGTCTGTTTGCTTTATTCGCATTAATTTCATGGTTTATGTAATTGTACAAAGGGATGCAATAGTTTAAACTAGGACCTTTTACATTTTTTTTCCATTTTGGTTTGTAATTCCCCCCATCCCGAAGCGATGTAATAGCATAGTTTAAACTTCCGCATCTTTATTTTATTTGTATATATTTAACTGCTAGATGCATGTTAATAGGCTTGCATGACAAGATCTAAAAATAAATGATAGAAAACCTAAATGTTTAAGATAAATAACTAAAAAATAACACACTTCACACACGCGCACCTCTAAGGTACCTCCACTTGTTGCCTTTGGAAAAATAAACAGTCATGTCCCTCGAATGTGGGACTCTTTAGCAAAGACCCTTTGATTAAAAGATCGTAGTCCCTCGATGACCCTTTTGATGTTGCCTCGGTAAATGATCTTAAAACCGTAGGGTATTTGCTAAAGTATCTTATGAGTTGCCTTAATGATTATACGATGAACCTCGCTTGTCCCTCAAAACATCCAACGATAGGGCTACCTACTGACTAATAGTAGGATAGCAATATCTAAAGGAAGAGAGGAAAAGAACAAAGACCATTCGAGTAGGTAGACCGCTTATAGTCGCTTGCTCATAAAAATAAACAAAACAATTTTTCCTACACATACACTATCTTTTCAAAATATTTTCAAAGACAAAAACACTTTGTATATGTTCTCAACGACACGAGAATCATTACAAAGTTTGCCACACTAAGGCATCTTTTCAAAATATTTTTAAAACACACAAACACAAAGCATTTTCAAAAGTGAGCTAGCAACTAAGAGCCCGTAGATAACTAGGGATGAAAAGGGTGTTAACACCTTCCCTTTTCATAACCTACCCCCATTACCCAGAAAAATTCTCAAAGGTCTTTCCTGTTATTTTCACCCTTTCCTTTATTGGATAAAAAAAAGTCGGTGACAACTCTTGCTATCTGCAACATTTGCGATAAAATGCAAAACCAGTAAAGTCAGTTCTCCTACAGTACCACAGAACTGGCGATTCTACTGGGAAATAAACTAAAAGTGGGGTTACCTTAGAGCTAGATCATATTTAAAATTCTTAACTTGTTTGACTTGCTTGCTTTACATTTCAGGTTTATGTTTGGGTTATCTTAAAGATCCTATACCCGGAACTGGGGCATATTAGGTAAGAAGCAATAGATCATGGGGAATGTGCAGCGTAATACCGATATGGTTGAAGTGATGACTACATTAGTGTGACACATTTGTTGGTACTGGTATCCTTTGTGTTGAATCAATGAGAATACGGGGCCTCTGTGTGGTGTCATGAAGCACTAACTGACCTTACAACCTTAGTTGAACAAACTTGGTCATTAGAAAGTAGTGAGATAGCCGGCTTCGGTGCAAAACTGAGGATTGGTTGATACTCGATACGACACTCATTGAGATTGGAATTTCAGGATATTTTGGCTGCGAGAAAAGATCGCATGATCTTAAACAATGTCCGATGGAGAAAGATCAGTGATATTGAGATTCTTTAGAACTCGGTTACTTTTTTAGGACAGGTTGAACCAACTAAATTTCAAGAGGGTACTTACCTACAAACTCCATGCAAGCCTGAACCTAAGGCTACTTGTGTGACTTATTTTCATTCACTATCTAACAACTTGAACTCCTTGTAGGGCTTGTTTGTATTCATTATCTAACGACGTGAATTCCTTGCAGGACTTATTTGTAGTCATTATCCAATAACCTGGACTTCTTGCAAGACTTACTTATTTACGTCACCTTGCACTTTTGCTTGATGCATAGCATACACATCATAACATCATACCATAGCATGTCGTTAACCATTTCAAGGATCTCAAGGGCCTATGATGCAGGTTATCATGAACTAGACGCCTAGCAAGGGGCAAGAGGATTTATTTTCCTCTAACCAAAGGCCGCTAAAGTATGATGAATCAGACGTCTAGCAAGGGGCAAGAGGATTTATTTTCCTCTAACCAAATGCCATCAAAGAACGAAGCACGATGTCTTAAGTTAGAGGCTATGACCCACTCGACATGGTAAGCTTGATTCTCGTATAAGGACATTCAATGATATGAAGTTATTCAATCAAAGCTGCAATCATAATTCAAATATTTTCTTGTGTTTACCCCGCAAGATCCTTGAAAACATTGCATGCATGTCATTACATAACATGTATTCTCAAGATAGGTTTCTCATTTTCTCGTTGTTTATTTCAACAAGGAAAATGGCTCTCGAACAGAATGACAGATATCTCCAAGCTCAAGATGTTCAGTTCAAGGAAATGTTCCTGAATCTATCCAAGGGGCAAGAAGAATTGAAAACACTCCTCGCTGGGAACATGGCCAAGAAAAATCTTGAAGATAACAAGGAGAACCAGTTGGAACAACTATAAGCTGAGATGGAAAGGATGAGAATCCAGATGAGTAGTCAGATGGCTCTTATCCAAAATTTATCTCGGGGACAAGAAGAATTGAGGATTTTCATCATCAAGCTTCAGCAAGACAGATACGACCGTCTTGGGCAAACTGCTAGAATTTGGGGTATAATCAATGATCAACCTCTCTTGGTAGGACAGGGAATCAGTTGATATGTTCATGCAGGAACATGTTGAAAATAAACTCAGGAACAGCGAAATTCAGGGGACTGCATCATACAATGGAAATAAGGAGTCCAGTACTATGTACGACCCAATGGATCGTAATAAGAGTGGTCTCAACCAATTTGTGGGGGCAATGCGGATCTCTAATCCAACATCGATGCACACAACAACGACAAGGCAATCAGCGTAAGCAAGACATGCCCAAAAGGAAATTCACCAAAATCAACATGTCTTTATCTCAAGAATTGCAATACATGTTGATGATGGAGTTGATTACGTTGAAGGATCCTCCTCAGAATCCTAACACCTCCTATCCTCAGTAAATCCGAACACGAGGTGTGCATACCATTCTAATAGCCCTGGACATGATACGAAGGACTGCTGAGTGTTAAAAAACAAGATTCAAGACTTGATCGACGAGGGAGTGCTAGAGTTCACACAAGATGGTCAGACTGAATTCTTTTGTCGTCCCTCAAAGGCACACCATCTGAAGTGACAAGTTCAAACAAAAAGGCTTTCTGTTCATTAGAATTTTCAAATTGTAATTTTCTTTTGATTGTTCGAACGCTTATTTTATGTCAAACTTTGCTATTCCATTAATGCATTGCATATGTTTGTCTTGAATTAATACATTCATTTTAACTATACTGAAACTATGCTTTTACTTTCTTTTTATGATATTCAACTCTCGATTAAAAGTTGTAAGCCTTTAGAGGGAGGATAACAAAAACAATACCATAATCTCATACAGTATGCTTTTGAACAAACCTTGCTGACGATGTACATGCGTTGTTTCAAATCCTAAATAGTGGAGTTATAAGAAAGATAATCCATAGTAAACCCCTTTGAGCCTAAGAAGTAGGAGTTTTCTTTTTCACGCAAATTGAAACCTTTAATCATAACCTGGGACAGGGTAGTTTCTCAGTCAATTCAAATGTGCATTCAGTCGTAAGCTCTACCTTCATACATGACGAATAGTGTTGTACCCCAAAATTTGCCCTTGCAATTTTCCACAAGAAATAACAACTTCAGGCTTTTCCTGATTTTTCAAACTGGCTCAAGAATCGGTCAAACGGACTTTTCTCGTCAGTCAGATACAATTAGGGTTTTATTGGTTTTCATGGCTCTGGAACAGTTCATACAGTTTGTTTAAGGTTTGGTTGATTTTGGATCAATTTTGATCAGGCGAACGCTTCTTTGGCATTTGATCAGGAATTAGGGTTTTTTGTGCGCGCGTTCTCAGAAAGATTTAAATTCTACAGCACTTTTCAGGTTATGCTGAGATGTGGATTGAAACATTTGGATTGAGTTCGCACTGTGTGATTAAATCAGTGAAAGGATACATTCAGTTTGAATTTGCAGTGTTTGGTAAAAATCAGTAAAAAGGGGAATGCGTCTGATCAGTTGTTGTGTTTGACTGTGCTTTGCTTTGGATGTTGGAAGCGCTAAGTTTATTAATTAATCAACACTGAATCAATGTTTAGTTAATTATTTATTATTCTAAAGATTAAATAGCTGGAATTTAATTTTCAGTTATTTTAATTTAAAGAACTATAAATAATAAATAAATAATTGAAAAGGAAGGAAAGGAATTAAATGATAAAAGATTGGATTTTATTCATCTTTAATTATTCGTTACAATTTTTATTCGAGTACTGTATTTATTTACAAAGTATTCTAATAATGATTACAATAATTAAAATTGAAACAAAATTATCCTAAGAAAATTCTTAAGTCTTCATCTTCCGCCCATTGCTCCGGTGCTCCATGGAATTTTATCTGCAAAAACAAATAAGAGAAAGAAAAGTCAATTGCAGATAAAATAAATAGAGACAAACAGATAAAAATAAAATTCATCATTAAGGGCAACTGACTGGGATCAGTTAGCCCTCTTTGCAAATCACGGGATTTCTCCCGGTTCACAAAGAGGGATGAATATTTGCTTGCTAATTTGGGATGCACAAAGTTGAAATTCACAAGTCAAAATTGTCAAACCACTACATACTGCATATTTCAAAACAAACTGAACTAGGCCTAACCACAAAGTCCAAACTGAATCACAAATTCCAAACTGTCCATAAACTGTACAAGGCTACTCAAAACTGTCAAAAGAAGATATCAAAGTATCAAAAGGTACAAGGTGCAACACAAAATCTGGAGGAAAAGGGACAAATATGCAGAGAAGGATTAATATGCAAGCAAGCTTTTCATTTTCATCATTTCCCAATGCTGCCCTTTCAGAATAAAGTACACATAAAACATTGTTTATCATTTTGAAGTGTACTGGAGAGAGAAAGAAGAGAGAAAAGAGTTTAGGCTTACAGGTTTGGCTTTAGGCATAAAGATAAGATAGAATAAACAGCTAACAGCTATCAAAAGGGGGAGAGCATAAGATATCAAGAGACAACATATCAAGGGATATCAAAAAGAGATAACCACAAACTGTTAGAGACCCCCAGCCAAAACAAAACTTAAAAAGCCTCAAGCTTAACCAAAGCCCTGAACCTGCATAAACCTGTTTCCAACAAACACCCAACCTGCGTGAAGCCTAAAAAAACCAGTAAGGCCATAACCTGCCTGAAGCTTAACCAAAGCCCTGAACCTGCATAAACCAGTTCAAAATCCCAAACCAGCAGGCCAAAGCTAACAAACTAGCCTAACCAGTAAACCCTATCAAACAACAATCCAAAAAAAACCATAACTGTCAAGCCTAAACTGATAAACACACAAACAAACATCCAAGGCCAAAACCTGTACCAGATACCAAACCTAACCGTTCAAAACCTAAAACCTGCAAGCTTAAACTTGGCAAGATCAAAAACCAGTAGAACCTGTCCAAGTCTCCCAAAGCAACAATCAGCCTTACCATTCAAGGCTTGAAGCCTAAAACCGGTAAGGCCATGACCAAAGCCTGAAAGCCAGCATAACATTCAAAATTTCCAAACCATCCAGCACAAAGCCAAAACAGGGGCAAGCATCATTCAATCCCAGCATCCAAGCATCAAGACAACCAAACAAAAAGGAAACGTTCAAGACAACTCAGTGTCAAACATCACAGGCCCTCAGAATATTCATCACAGGGCATACAGAAAAGGCATCAAGATACTCAATTATCAAAGCATACTGAAGCATACGTATAAGCCAACAGAAGAAGGAGATAAAGAAGTGTCTCAACCAAGTACAGAAGGCAACAAAGAAACATACAAAGTATATCCAGAAGGGCCACAAGCATACAGTAAAAGAGAAGAAGAAAGAAAGAATATCAAAAAGGCTTTCAGACAGCATCATTAAACCTAAAAGAGGTGAAAATACAAAGGTACCAGGAAGCACAGCCTCATCAAGTTCCCCTCACCGTCAAAGCCTCCGGAGCGCCTCCGACCCCACCTCTCCTCCATATCCAGAAAACGAAGGTAGTATGTCTTTCTCTCTTTCCTTCCACCACCTCAACAGAAAACAAAGTTTAATCAAGATCAATAATCACAAAATCATAACATGCAAAATCGTAAAAAACGTATAAAATGTCAAAATCAAACCTTGCTTCGTAGACCACTGGGCTCGAATTATGGAGGAAGGAGAGATTAGGTGATGGCGCTGGTGGCTAAGTAGAAGGAGTCGTATTCAGAAGATAATCGGAGAAGGTGAAGTGAAGTAAACGAACGGCGCCGCTGCAAAGTTCTCAAACCCTAAGCGTTTCCCTAATGAACACAAATCATTCAACCCTAAGAAAACGATTGTTGTCCAAACCAACTGGGCCTCGCCCATTTTCAACACCTTAAGCCCACTGAAAGCTGGGCACACACCCCCCTTTTTCTCTTTATTTATTCTTTTTTTGTTTTATTTCGTTTGGGCCCAAGCCCATTTATTTCTTCTTTCCATTTCCTTTTTTTTTACAAATTAAAATTTTTGTTTATTTTCTTTTAACATAACTCTTTTTGGGATGATACACTAGTTTTGTATAGAAAAAAAAATATTAATACATAAAACAATTTTTAAGTTAATACATTTTCTTTTCTTAAAAAAACATTATTTGTACATAATCAATTAAAGTACATTTTGTTAATATACATAATTTAATTAAAATTTAAAACATTTAATTAAAATATTCTTTTTTGTACATAAAGAAATATACAAGATTACAAAGGATTAAATAAAGAAAACATCTAATTCCTTTTATTAAGTAAACCATGCTTGATAACACATTAAATTCATATTTTCTTAACTTGTAAATAATTCTCATACAAATATACGTACACAATACACAATACATTTCACATTATACACTTGATACACATACATTTACTATTCTTATACGTTACATTACATTATTTACATTTTATCGCAATTCGATTTGGTTGTAAATTATTGGACACTACATTCCTAAAGTCTCATCCCCATTTGTAAATTTGTACCCCCACTCCCGGATACTATTTGTAATAGCGTAGACTTTAAATTCTTGCAATTTACCGCTTTCCAATTATACCATGGTTAGACCTAGGGTTTACACGTACATAAAATCAAACGCTAGGTAACCTAATACAAGACAAATACATGAAATCAATACACAATCACACTTGCACCCCCTAGGGTAATCCCACATGTTGCCTTCCAAAATGGGCCATGCTTGCACGTCGAGTTTCTTTGGCAAAAACAAATTCAAATGATCATAAGTCCCTCGATGACGCTTTCGAAAGTTTCCTAAATGGAATGATCATAGTCCCTTCAAAGCAAATTGCCAAAGACACTTGGCACCATTGCATTCATGGTCCATACGATGACCCGCGCCCTTCCCGTTAAACATCCTAAACGCAAGATTGTCCACCAAATTCAATGGTGGAACAAAATTGTTAAAAAGGGTTGAAAATATAGAGAAAACCTTTGAGTATAATAGGGGTAGACAAAACTCTTAGTTACTTGAGATCAACTTGCAAAAACACTTGCCTTCTTTTCAAAACCACACTTCACAAACACTTTCAAAACAAACTCTTCAAAAACATCTTGAAACATCTTTTCGAAAAGAATCACACCTTCGTATATACTCAAACACGAGTCATTACATTGGTTGCCTAAAACAAGGCATCTCTTTCAAAAATATTTTCAACACACACACACACACACCATTTTCAAAGCAATCGAAAATCAAGGCAAGTGATCCAAAAAACCAAGTAACTAAGAGCCCATGGATAACCATGGATGAAAAGGGTGCTAATACCTTCCCTTTTCATAATCTACCCCCCGAACCCACGAAATATCTCAAAAGGTTTTTGCTGTGCTTTTTAAACCTTTCCTTTAGGATAAAATAAAAAGTCGGTGGCGACTCTTGCTCAACCGAACAAGTGTGAATACAAACGCAAAACCTCAAGTCAGTTCTCCCACCGTATCACTGAACTGGCGACTCTGCTGGGGATAAATTTAAAAGTGGGGTTACCTTAGGGTTTAGATCACCTTTACTTTTTTGCTTTGATTGACTTGATTGCTTTATCTTTTGGGTTCTTGTTTGGGTTTGTTGTAAATCCTACACCCGGATTTGGGGCACCTTTTTAGGTAAATAGCAAAAAAACTGTGAGGGAACTGTGCGGGGTATACCGACATGGTTGAAGCAGTAAGCTATGTTAGTGTGACATATTTGTGAGTACCGGTAACCCTTGAGTTCAATCAAGGAGAGTACGGGGCCGCTGAGTGATGTCGTGAAGCACTAACGAACTCTTAGAACCTTAATTGACCATCTTAGCCTTTTTAGGGGTAGTGAGATGACCGACTTTGGTGCAGTCCGAAGTTGGTAGATACTCGATACTACACTCATTTGAGGGTTGTTTTCTTGGAATATTTTGGTCGCCAGTAAGTGGCTAAACCGAAACAATGAACACAGAAAACAATCCAATAATATTGAGCTCCTTAGAACCCGGTTTCTATTTTAGGACAGGATGAGCCAACTAACTTCAAGAGGGTACTTACCTAAACCCCCTGCAAGCCTAAACTTAGGGACTTGTTTGATTTGTGTGAATATGATTACCTGTATATACACTCACTTGCTTTTTGCATACATGTACATAACATCATAACATCATACCATAGCATTTTCAATAACCATTTCAAGGATCTCGAAGGTTCTTTTGATGCAGGGTCACGTTGAACCAGACATCTACCAATGGGCAAGAGGTTTCTCCTCTAAGAAAACACCATCAAAGTTCAAGTTCAACAACTTGAATCAGTGGCTATGACCCACTCGACATGGTGAGCTTGATTCGCGTGGAAAAACATCCACCAGTGCACAGTTCTCCGATCAAAGTTCAAGTGCAACAACTTGAATCAGTGGCTATGACCCACTCGACATGGTGAGCTTAATTCTCGTGGAAAGACATCCACCGGTGCAAAGTTCTCCAATCAAAGATCGAAGTTCAACCTCTAACATTCTCTTGTGTTTACCCCAAGAGATCCTTGAAAACATTGCATATATATCACACATATCACTGCATAACAGGTTTCTCCCATACAGGTCTCCTTATTCTTCCTACTGTTTATTTCAGTAAGATGGATATAGAACAAACAGTGAAAGATCTTCAAGCTCAAAATGCTCAATTCCAACAAATGCTGCTGACTATGGGCAAAGGGCAAGAGGATCTGACAGCTCTCCTTCTCAAAGACAAGAAGAAGAAGTCCAAGAAGGCAGCCCGCATCCTGAACTTGAGGAGAAGGCCTAAGACCCAAGACCTTGCAACTCCATCCAACACAGGAGGTAGTCTTGAAGAAGACCACAATGTGGAGATTGTTGAAGAAGAAGCTGACTACTCCGAGGGGCAATATCCTCTCGTTGATGACAAGTACAAAGAGTTGGAGGATCGCCTCAGTGCTATGGAGATCCAACAAATACCTGGCTTGGATCTAGGAGACATGGGCCTAGTTCCTGGATTGGTCATCCCATCAAAGTTCAAAGTTCCTACCTTTGCTCTGTACGACGGAGTCTCTTGCCCTAAGATGCATCTAAGGTCTTATGTCCGCAAGATTCAACCATACACAGTTGATAAGAGGCTTTGGATCCATTTCTTCCAAGAAAGTCTGGTAGAGGCTCAACTCGAGTGGTTCTATCAATTGGAGAGTTCTCGCATCCACACCTGGGAAGATCTAGCCAGGGCTTTTTACAAACAGTATCAGTACAATGTTGATCTTGCACCAACTCGTGTGCAGTTGCAGAACATGACCATGGGTTCTGACGAGAGCTTCAAAGGGTATGCTCAAAAATGGAGAGATCTGGCTGGTAGGGTGCAACCCTCTCTAACTGACAGAGAGCTGATTGACATCTTCATGGGAACTTTGATAGGGCCTTTCTTCAAGCACTTAATTGGAAGCTCCTCAGTCGGGTTCACCGAGCTAATACTGACCGGCGAAAGGGTCGAAGCTGGCATCAAAAGTGGAAAGATCCAAGGAGCTACAACCTTCGATACTCGAATAATTCCCTACAACGGAAAGAAGGAGTCCAATGCCGCAAGCAGTCAAAAAGGTCGTCTTGACCAACATGTAGGGGCAGTCGTGATCTCTAACCCTACACTTGCTCAGCAAAGACAGGGGCATCAACATAAGGAGGTCGCACCTAAGAGGCAATTCACCAAGATCAACATGTCACTGTCTCAAGCACTGCAACACTTGTTGAAGAGGGACATGATTACATTGAGGGCTCCTCTCCGGAACCCAAATACTTCTGCTCCTACCTATCATCCCAATGAAAGATGTGAATACCACTCTGATAGCCCGGGGCATGATACCAACAACTGTTGGCCTCTGAAGAACAAGATCCAAGACATGATTGATGCCAAGGAGATTGAGTTTGGTCCCCCAGAGACCTCAGCATGATCACTCCTCCTATGCCAGATCATTGAGATTGTGTTTGTTTCATTTTGAATTTTCAAAGTTGTAATCTTTTGTCATTCAAACAATT